ATTAAATAAGTTTTTAAAAAATTAGAATTAGGGTCTAGAGAGATGGCTCAGTGGTTAAAAACACTGGCTACTCTTGCAGAGAACCCAGGTTCAGTTTCCAGCACCTACATGACAGCTAGCAACTGTTTGTAACTCCAGTTCCAAGAGCTCTGATCCCCTCTTCTGGCCTCTGTGGGCATTGCACACACTGGTGCACTTACATACATGCAGGCAAAACAATTATACATAAAGTTTAAAAGAAATAAGTAAAAATTTGAAAAGAATAATTCTCTTGATTTGAAAAACCTTTTCCTATCCCATCTTACCCTATTTTCCCAAGAACCCTGATTTTTCCCTCCTTCTTCATTTCCTGTACCCAGTTCATCAGTGAGTTATAGTCTTTCTACTTTCCAAATGCACTCAACATTCATCCATGGCTACCCATCCGCCACCACTACTACATTCCTTATCACCAGCATCTGTCCCTGGGGTTACAGGGATGGCCTCCTCTTGGCTTCCAGTTTTCATTCCTGCCCCTCTCTTCTTCATCTTCCTGCTAAATGCTATAAAGAATGTTATCACCTTCAATCATCTCAAATTGTTGCCATTATTTATTTCTTTATTATTTTTGTTTCTTCTATCAGAACATTTTCTCCAGGAGGGCAGGGAGTAGATGTATTTTATTTCCAACTTCTCATATACATTGAAGCTTTTCAATAAATATGTTAGAAAAGATGAAAGCAAACAAATGTATAATTTTAGCTATTATATCATATTTGTAATTTGCCTCCTCAGAAAACTTTGCTGATATTGGCTACTTCCCAGACTCATAGGACAAGGTAAGAAGACCTTCTGTATTTCAATAACTCCCTAAAAGAACAAGAAAACCAGAAATTTAAGAACACAAATTGTAGTAGAAGTAAATTCATCCACTTCAGACAGGTGATAATAAGGCAGAGCTGCTGTGTGTAAGACACGCTAAGTGGTAAGGCCCTCACAAGCTGGTGACACGAGTTCCATCTCCTCCAGACATGAGCTCTAGCCAACTAGTCAAGTGGCATCAGGGGACTGAGGAACAAAGACCTTCTAGTTCTTCTAAAGAAGATGAAATTTTGTGTATCAATTTAAATTAGGTTTGGTGGCAAATTATAACTTGAAGTAGCAGCTTAAATGAAGTGTGTATTTCTGTGTCACAAAAGGTCTGAGAATGAACAATGCAGGTCTCATGAAGCCTGCATTGGAACCAGGGACTCAGGCTTCTAACTTTCCTCAGTTTGGCACAGTTTCTACTCCCAAAGTCACTTCGCAGCCCAATGGACTCACTGAACTCCAGTCATTACCTCCTCATTCCAGGCAGCAGGGAGGCTGAGGCTCACAAGTGGAGTTGTTAACTGTAAATGAATGTGTGTCCAGTTGAGGATGAAGAGCAGAATGGATATTGGAGCTGTGGTGCCTGCCAGAGCTGGCTGTGTATGTGGAATTCCCAGTTTTCACACCATTGACAGCTGAGTGGAGCATGTTTGCTATCTAATTTCAACAGAGGATCCGCCTCTGTGGGAACACTGCTTAGAGAAGCAGATATGATTGGAAGAATTGCTGTGACTTTGGGAGAGGCCTGCAAGTGGGGCTGATGAGGATGATAAACAGAGGGAGGTAGTAGGACTTTCACAGGAGTACAAACAAACCTGTGAAGATGGGCAGTTGGAGAAAAGCGAGGAGGAATAGTCATCCACAAGTGCATAAGGCGCTGGCAGCAACCCAGGCACCCCATCTCCTTTCCCTTTAGGTCCAGACAGTTATCCCAAGAAGTACAGTTTCCATCTTCCCCTAACTATGAATTTGCTTTCTGACCTTAGTTGAGAGTGCCTTCTCATGCCAGATCAGGCTCACCCTGTCTTGGGGGACTAAGTGATCCTGGGCCAGACCCAGCTCTGTAATCACTGCCCTCTTCAGTCCTGCACCCTGCCCTCATAGGCTTGGGCTTGGTCTAATCTCAGGCTAGGTGACAATTCTACTCTAGATGGCTGATTCTTCTGGCTGGGGCAGGTCCCAGGAATGGTGGAGAAAGCATTGATTTTGAAGTTGACTTTTCTTTCTGCCATCCCAGCCCAGCAATATCTGGCTGAGTGGACTATAAATACCTTTCTAAGTATAAGTCGGAGCTAATTGTATTCTTCTTACCTAATTCACAAGGCCGTTCGGAAGATTTGTAGGAATCACTTATGTAAACTGCCTTTGGGGGGTGGGGTGGGGAAGTATAAACAGCTGTACATACAGATTTAAGGTTCCAGTAAAGATTCTCTGTAACCACCCACATATGTTTGAAATTAATGGCTTTATTGACACAAACTTTGCAATGGAAAGTGTTATCCCAATAGGACAGTAAGAATCAGTTCCTGTCTTAAACACACATTAAAAAAAAAGAAGAAGAAAAGAAAAGAAAAACATTGCCAGATGGAAATTTCAGTGGCATGGCCAGATCACTGGCCTTCTGTTCCCTTCTCCACTCAAAGTAAGAAAGTGTTTCTATATATGCAGAGACAGCCTTTCAAGATGGTGAATTCCAAACAAACATGCATTAGTGAACTGAGGCAAACACAGAGCTGGAAAGAGGAGCTGGGCTTAGCCTGTGGCTGACAGCACATCAACTGGTGAAGCAACATGTCAAAACACAGCGCACATGCCCTGGAGAGCAAGCCCTTGAACTCGCAGGATCGCTGCCAACCTCGCAGCAGGACTCCCGCCTAGCAATGCCACTGGGGACATAAGAGTCACCAGGCTTGCTTTTGTTTTATTTTTAAAATTGTCAGAACATGAAGTTCCCTAAAAGCCCTTTAATGAGGAGTCAAAATGATAGAGGTTTGGGAAAATGTGGTGTTGTATATGGCAAAGGTTTGTACAGTGATCAGGAGAAAACACCTATTTCTATGATTTGACAGAAATCTACCCTTAACATAAAAGCGAGATTTTACTGCAGAGCGAGTCACAATGCACACTGTGCCTTGGGGCCAAGTCAGTCTCCTGAACATCAAACTCACTCTTAGAGTCAGGATATATAGTCATGACTGGTTGGACTCCAAGTTCCTCAACAGCTATTACAGTAGCTGGCACAAGGCTGACACTGAATGTTCAATAATAATAATAATAATAATAATAATGATGATGATGATGAATATACAATCTACACTTTTACTTGTTTAGGGAAATAATGTCAGTATGTGCATTTTAGCCTGCATAGGTTACTTCCTGTACTGTGTAGTGTGTAAGCACATCATCAGGCTGCTGATTGCCGCTAAACATGGAGTTTGTTTGGTACAGTTTGAAATAACTCGAACTCTACCTTTCCTAATCCCACGTATGTTAACAGTCCTCTAAAATCACGCTGTTACTTTGCAGGAAGATGTATGCAGCTGGACATTTTTCTTTAATGCTAGAAAATTATTCCTATCAAAATATCTTTTTGTGTCAGTTGCCTACTGCCCAACACAGTGCCTGTCATTTTAATGTCAATGTGAATACACATCAACCAGGTTCTGGTTTTCTAAAGTAATTACTTTTCAGATACCAAAATAACATAGTCCTTGGGGCTATGTACAGAAAGGCCAAAGAATCATCATGTGTGTCTTCACATGTTCTAGGTCACCTCCCTCCTGTAGGTAGTATCCAGCCTTTGATTACAATGGCAAATGACCTGACTAGAGAGACAAAAGCCACAAATGACAAACTAAAGGAAGTGAAAAGCTATGGAAAAAATGCAGTGTCTGGCTGGGCCCTGGCAGGCATCACAGGTTGGATGCATTGCCCATCACAGGTTCGATACAGGCATTATGGTTTGGATGCCTGTCTGGGAGGCCTTTCCAGGTAGAGGAGAAACAGGTGTGACTGTGTCACAGTGACCTCTCAAAGGCACTCCACAGGCGTTGGTCGAGTCTGTGTGTGAAACTGGGTTTAATCTGTCTCCTGTTGAGCTAAGGAGACAAGAAAGGCAGGGCATTTTCCTGTTTCTTTGGTTCTCATATTTCTGGATTTAGAGTTGGACGAGAGCCAACTTTAAAGTGAAAACAGTAAGTTTTGTGATGGCAGTATTTTAAAAAGAAAGAAGGAAAGAAGGGGCTTGTCTGAAACCATACACTTCGAAACCAGGATAGCTTCACCCTGTTATGGGAACCTTACCCCTAGGGAGCCTGCTCCTGCCTGCTTTTCTGTGTCAGAACTCACCACAGCTACAGCAGACCCTGCTATGGAAGCTACAAAGGGGGAAAAACAAAACAAACCACATTTTGGCAATTCATTGACATAGTTCAGGACTGTTCAATGCATTTTCTGTATGTGATAAACAGGAGGCTGAGAAGGTCTCCACAGCTCAAGATGCTGTGTGTTGTCAGGTCAAACCATCTCTCAAGGCGCTCCGTGGCATCTATGTTTAGCAAGCGAGACACTTCTTTGAGGATCCTTGACTGTGAAGGCCTCCAAAGAACTTTATCTGCTCTTACATGCAGTCTGTTAGTTGATGCAGTTCTTTGTGATTCTTTTATTTCTGTCCATCTGTCGGATGTTCTCTGCAACACTGATAGTGACTTCTTTTGCAGGCATTCGCTTAGCATCTCTCTTAACCTGTTATAAAGTTGAAAACAGTGAATTCAGTTACTAGCAAATATCCGAAGTTTATCCTCTTTACATGAACTTCTTGAGATTACTATAAACACACAGACAGGCATGGAGAATGGCCTAGAAGAACCCATGTACATCACTCCTCTTCAGAGGTTTTCTTTAATTAAATTTTTCGATGTTCCATTAAAACATAAAAATCATACACATTAATGGAGGTGACATGTGATGCATGTGATACATACCTACACTGTTTTTTCAGGTTTGTCTGTTGGCTCCCTTAATACCAACCTAGCACAGAGCCTGGTATAAGACATGCTCTGTAAAATATCATTGAGTGAATGGATTAACTGAAAATAAAGGGAAGTGAAAGAAAGTTTCCCCAGTTGGCCTTAGCAGAGCAGTGAAGTTGCTGAGCGTCAGAGTCAGGCTTTGGTTCAAATGCTGACTTTGTGGCTCCATGGTGGACAGGTGTGTCTAACTTCATTAATATGAATTTCTTCATCTGTCAAATGGGGAATAATATCATCTACCTCATAAGATTTAATAAAGACTAAATGAGATAACATATAGAAAATACTTGGCCCAATGCCTGTTACTAAATTAAGAGAAACCTCAAAAGGTAGAATTATCTATTTTTAGAAGACAAACCCATGCTAAAAGCCAGAATTAATTTTTTAAATATTTTATTTATTTATTTTTTATGTGTATGAGTGTATTGCCTGCACATATGTGAGTGCACCTGTGCCATGCAGTGCTGTGGAGGTCAGAGGAGGGCTTTGGATTTCCCGGAACTGGAGTTAAGGACGGTTTGTAGCCGCCATGTGGGTGCTGGGAATCGAACCTGGGTCTTCTGCAAGAGCAGTCAGTGCTCTTAACCGCTAAGCTATCTCTCCAGCCCCTAATTTTAAAAATTGAAACATTAATTGATCTGTAGTTTCTTCAACATGTGCCCATACCCCACTTCTTATAAAGTGAACTGACTTTAGTGGGGTTAAAACTCCATTTAATAGGGGGTTAAACTCAGTGGAGTTTGTGAAAAGTGTAACATACTTGGATGTGTTTCTGTGTGTTGCAGTGAGCATGAAATGACGTTGCAAGTCACCTCTAGAGGTCTGTGCCACTTCATCCCCATTCCAGAAAAGATTTGCTGCTCAGCTACAGGGAATACAGTCAGCAGAGAGCCTCTAGCTGTCCTCACAGGGGTGACCTCAGCTTCAGGGAGCTACCTCACCTAAGGTTGTGCACTTCCAGAAGAGGTCCAGTATGGGAAGAAAGAGATACAAATATCTGACTGTTGTGACCCACAGTAGCACAGCTCGTGAAACCCATTCCTCCACAGAGCTCCCCAAGGCTGTCTGTCTGATCTGAGGCTCAGAATCTCCCTCTGTCTAGTCCAGGCTCCATCTCTCCCTTCCACCAGCACTGCCCTACAGGCACTTCCTAATGAGCATCCTGCATGATGACAGGTCTCATTCTGCTTCCTGATAAACACAGTCTTAGATCCTGTGGGAACAGTTGTCATAGCCAAAGAATCTTTCCATGCTGAGTATGATTCCATGTGGATAATCGCCTATTGTCCGTACAGCATGGTTCCTCCAACACAAGTCAACCATGTCAACTGAAGTGCATCCAACAAGTTGTGGACTGTTGTAGCACAGACAAAACAAGCCATTCTGTTGAGTTTATACATAAATGATAGGTAGGTGTCTAAATGTCAACGTGTGCTTGGGTAGCTGCTGGTGATGTCCTCTCTGTATCCTCCTATCCTCCTTACTCAGCAGGGGCACCCTTCCCCCAGCTGCCAAGTCCTGACTGCAGCACCCTCCTTTTCCTTTTTTTTAATTTTTATTTTTTACAAAAGTTGTCCTTACCTGGGGCTGGAGAGATGGCTCAGCGGTTACGACCACTGACTGCTCTTGCAGAGGCCCCAAGTTTGATTCCTAGCACCCACATGGCAGCTAAGAATGGCCCTTAACTCCAGTTCCAGGGGAATCCAATGCCCTCTTCTGACCTCTGCGGCATTGCATGACATGGGTCCACTCACATACATGCAGGCTATACACTCATATACATAAATAAAAATAACAAATTTTAAAAAGTTGTCCTCACCTGATTAGAACCAACTACTCCAGAAATGCCAGAGAGGTTACTCCATAATCCCTAGGAAGTTGTTAGGGATACAAAAAGCTGGCCCTCCTGCCTCAGAGAACAAATCTATAATGCCACACACCCCATAGCTCCCTATAGGATCAAGGTAAGGCTATCCTAGAACTGCTCAACCAAGCTCACATACCTGCTGAACTTGAAACTCTGGCTGACCTACTTCCTTGCTACCTTACAAGTATCAATCAATTTCTTGTGGAAGGCTCATAGAATCTTCAGCTTTGCTCTAGGGAACCAAGCATAAGATAATACTTTATGGACACTGTGGGTGTTCAAGGACAACTTCAGTTCAGTCACTTTTGTCTTATATCTTGATTTTAAAAGATAGAATTTCATTATTTTCCTTTTAGTGTCCTCAGCACAGTTCTGAGATATAGTGAGTCCTCAATTTATCTTTGGCTGAGTAAATGGATGAATGGATGGATGGATGCCAGCATCGCCCTTTTGATGCAACGTTGCTTTAACAACAAATAGTACATCTTGAGGTTCTGTCTTATGTTTGGGTCTACAGTGCTTGCACTGACAACAGAACTAGCAAGGATTTATGGGATTATTTCTCCTCAAAAGCAGAGAACTTAGTCTCCCATCCTTCAAATTAGACACATCTGATTATCTATCTCTCTGTCTATCTATCTATCTCGATCCTCAAAGCATTCTTCCTAAGCAGTTGCTTGATCTTCCACTTCACATTGAACTGTATTTACATCAAGCTACTATATGCCTGCTAATCATGCTACAGGAAACAACACCAAACAATGACAATGTGTTCTAATGGGAGGCGTGGCAACTGTGAGGCCAATTCTAGTTTACTTTCATTTGGGTTATTGTTACCTACATGCAGGCATAACACTCATACACATAAAATAAAAATAATAAATAAAATATTTAAAAAAGAATAAGATGCAAACTTCCCAAGTTGCAAAGTTTTTTAATTTGTTGGTAATATGTCACAAAAAATAAAGAATATTCACAGAAAATAGTCTTTTGAAAAATACCAAAAGGTTTTTTTGATTAATTAAGTGTGTGTGTGTGTGTGTGTGTGTGTGTGTGTTCGACTTTGGGTGTCTTCCTCTATTGTTCTCCATATTATTTTTTGAGACAGGATCTCTCACTGAACCTAGAGCACACCGTTTCAGCCAGGCTGGCTGGCCAGCAAGCCTTGGGAATCTGCTTGTCTCTGCCTACCTCAGAACTGAAGTTAGAAGTATATGCCACCATGCCAGTCTTTTACATGGGTGCTGGGGATCTGATCTCAGATCCTCATGTTTGTACTAAGCCATCTCTCTACCCTTATTTCAGCCTATTTTTAAGTTTAAAATCCTAAGCAAAATTTCAGGAGTTGATGGTTCTCAGTTTCTGAGCTGGAGTAAAGCATCAAAGGCTACAAAACGGGCATTCTCACATCAAGTATGGGTTGTATATGATTATAATTCCAACCACAGTGAGGCAGTTTCTTAAAACTGTACATCATCAGTCTGTTCAGTGGAACATGCTGAGTAAAATCCATGGAGCCAGCACAACCTGGACTTGGCACAAGATTTGCCACCAGCTAGGGTAGCATGACAAGTGGGCTGAGTCTTGATCTTTTACCTGAGAAACACAAAAATGAAGTCTGCTTCTTGGATGTTTTCAAGAAGAATAAGCCTCTCACTTAGCAATGGTAAAGGTTCTGGTTTGCTGACCTATTTTAAAATCAAAAGTCCCACAGTCTATAAATAATCTCAGGTCCTAGCAAACCAGGACATTATTCTAATGGTAGCTATTGCCATTAATTTCCTTCGAAACATTATGTCAAATGTACCGCCTGCTTCTGCCTCCTGAGGGCTTGGATTAAAGGCACATGCCACCATGCCCAGCAAAATATACTAAATTGTTATCAAAGCACTTACTGTACTGAAACTGATGATTATTGTGGCAATGGCTAACTAACAACAATAATTCTATAAGAGATGGGCTGTGGATAAAGGACAAGCTGGGGTTTTGATACCCAAACAAACCCATTTTCAAATAATTACAAGATTAAATTCAGCAAACCAATCAAAACTGCACATTTTCCTTCTTTTAGATTTATTTATTTATTTTGTGTGTTTGTGTGTGTGTGTGTTGGGAAAAATGTCCTTGCTATGGTGCCTGTGTGGGGAGGTCAGCTTTTGGGAATTGGTTATCTCTTTACACCTATGAGTTCTGGAGATTAATCTCAGGTGTTCAGACTTGGCAGCAAGCATCTTTACCCACTGAACCATCTTGCCAGCCTAGAAATGAACGTTTTCTTGCAAGTTTTTTACTTAAAAAATATTTTGTTTTTATTTTATGTGTATGAGTGTATTGCCTGCATGTGTGTAAGTGCACCCATGTCATGCAGTGTTCAATGAGGTCAGAAGAGGGTGTCAGATCCCCTGGAACTGGAGTTACAGACTATTGTTAGCTACCATGTGGGTGCTGGGAATTGAATCCTGGTCCTCTGTAAGAGCAGCCATTGCTCTTAATCACTGAGCCATCTCTCTAGGTCCATCTCAACAGTCCTGATCTTGCAAATTTTTTAGAAAAAAAAAAATTTGGCTTCTAAGACAGCCACCCACAGATGCCCACCTTTTATAACTGTGAGGAGATCCAGGAGGTTGGAAGCTGTTGCAAATCTAGTTACTGATAGGTAAAAAGTTGGCGGAGAACAAGAGAATGGAGGAGGAGGCACCAGGACACAGATAAAACTCCATCAAAATAGGGTTTATTAGCAAAGGAACACATGGGACAGATTCCCTTCCAGGCAGGGAAAATGTCTGCCAGGGTCTTGAGCTGGGGTCTTTTAAAAAAGGAGGCTTCTGCTTCCTGCAGAATGCGGG